GCAGGTTTAAAGTTCAGGCTGTTACTAATCTCTTGTTGGCTCCAAGAGGGCTGAGCACTCAAAACTCCCGTTGACGGTAAATCCCAAGGAACTCCGTGCCTTGGGGAACTGGTCCCCAGAGCCTGGAATGGGCGCAGCATCTTATCAACGCCCACGCTTTAGAGGGCTGTTTTTGTTCCATGTGCCTTGTAAGGCGACAACTCCTTCAGCTCTAGGTGGGCACGAAAAAGTGCTGCGGAGTAGATTTAAGGAAGCGACGGTATTAATGAGTAACAGTATGCAATGAAAGGGGGAAAGGGTTTATTTAATGGGTAAAGGATTCCGTTCTGAACTGCTGACCGCAAGTGCAGCTCATCCGCACTCAAAGGAGTTGCACGCACTGGCACCAGGACGGCTGCACACGTTGCTTGTCATCTCTGCTGCTACATGCAGTACAGCCAGTTATTCTGGGCACCAGCGGACACTGTTTGAGCAGTAGCAGATCCACAGGCCTTGCCCCTCCTCCAAAATCCCCATGAATCGTGGCACCTGGGATTGCCTGTGGAGCAGTGCAGAACCTCTGTGTGGGCTCCTGAGTCCTGACCCTTCCTCAGTGCACAGAGGAACTTTTGTAAAGGGATCACTCAGTGCAACAAAAATAACACTCCTCAGATTCCCAGGCCAGAAGGGACCGCGGTGACCACCCCCTGTACTTCCTCAAAGTCATTCCTAGAGCAGATTTTTTAGAAAAACACCCAATCTTGATTTTAAAATTGTCAGTGATGAAGAATTTACCGCAACTCTTGGTAAACTGTTCCAGTGGTTAACTACTCGCATTGTTAAAAATGCACATCTTATTTCCAGACTGAACTTGTCTAGCTTCAACTTCCAGCCATATGGGTCTGTTATACCTGTCTCTGCTAGACTGAAGAGCCCATTGTTACATGGCGTATTTGTTCCCCGTGTAGATTCTTCTGTACTTTGATCAAGTCACCACTTAACCTTCTCTTTGTTAAGCTAAATAGATTGAACTCTTTGAGTCTATCACTACAAGGCATGTTTTCTAATTCTTTAATCATTCCTGTGACATTTCTCTGAGCCCTGTCCACTTTATCAACTGACAGGACTGCAGGCTGGGAACTTCCTGCTTTATCTAGCCACATCACAAAGTGTGTGTGTGTGTGTGTAGAGGGGGGGAGGGGGTAGAAATTCCCCCTGACAAAATCTGAAATAGGGAGGGGTAAGAGCATGGGTCCATCCCCTAGTACTCTGGGTAACTCAGTTAACTCCATGATGACCACTTGGCTACAGGAATTGCACAGTTTGTGCTGTTTCTCGGTTCTTCTGCAGATAGGATTTTCCCTTAACCTCTAGTCTTAAATATAATCGCAAGCCTACGTAGTACTGTACTTGTACTGAAAACAACCCAACCCCAGTAAATCATCTTCTGATTTTTTTCCATTAACACTAAGTATGGATCAGACTCTGAGGAAGTAATTTCAGTTGTCAACTGAAGACTTAACACCTTCATTCACCTGAATTTGGAAGAAAAAGTTAGATGTTTAACACCCAGCAGAACTTTTGGAGCTCAGATACGCAGGCACCCTGTCACAGACGTCAGTGAAAGCTGTGCCTGTATGAGAGGGCAGAATGGGGCCTTGGCTGCGTATAACTAGGCCCCGTTACTGACAGAATGAGCTAACGCAGCAATGAACAAGGGACATGATGCGGATGGTCAGGGCTGGCTCCAGGCACCAGCCCACCAAGCTTGTGCTTGGGGCGGCACCTGGAGGGGGACGGCGCGGTGCGGCGCTCCGGCTCTGGCCGCTGGGGAGAGCAGGACTACGGCCAGGCTCGCCGCCCTCCCCCTGGCTCTCTGGCCGCCAGGGAGAGCGGAGCCCCGGCTGGGGCTCGCCGCCCTCCCCCCGGCCGGGCACTCCGCCTTCCCCCCGGCCGGAGCTGCCCGCCGGGGAGAGCATAGCCCCGGCCGGGCACTCCACCCTCCTCCCAGGGCTCCGGCCACCCTCCCCCCGGTGCCCTCCCCCCGGCCGCCGGGGAGAGCGGAGCCCCGGCCGGGGCTCACCGCCCTCCCCTGCCGTGCTGGGGGGGACGGGGGGGCGGCCGGAGGCTTTTTTGCCTGGGGCGGCAAAAAAGCCAGAGCCGGCCCTGCGGATGGTAGGTGCAAGACATGCTATACGGTGATCCCATGTTCAGCCTCCCTGTTGCTATGGCTTGTCACAGTTCATCTATCCATACAAATGGCCAGCATGATACGCGTGAAACAAAGGAGCAGAACAAATCTTTTGCATTTTAGAAACAAGTGAGGGTGCCCCTTAAAAAAGCAGAACTACTACTCCTTCTTCAAAGCTCCTGCCTTTTCCATAAACCATCTGAAAGTTGGGCATTGAGCCAAGGTCTTTCTTAATAAGCTAAAACTGAAGCCAACGTTCATTAACATATCGCATGTCACACCGTTTATTCCCCTTTGAAAGCCGCATTACTGACCTTTACTATGTCCCTCAAGTCATAAATCACCATGATATGGGTACATTTAGCAGGATACAGGAGAGATACAGAAATGTGAGCAAACAATGCAAGCTTTCAAGCAGATAAGATACGGCCTATGATTCACCACTTTTCACTCAGCCTGCTTCCGTCTCCTCCGTCCTTCCCTCGGCAATGGTGCGCTGTGGTGGGAGGGAGACAGAGACAAAGCATCAGTAGCTCCCTGTGCTGAGGTGAGTTTCTTTGCCAGGAAAATGTTGTTAGTCATTTTTTACAGAGAGCGTACAAAGCAAATTCAAGATTTGGAAGGGGAAACAGGCTAAGAAAAGAAGCAGTTTAGTCTACAGTATAAGGTCTTTTCATAACCGGATACATTCACATTTCAAATCAGGCCATTTAAGCACAGATCATTTGGATACAAGCATGTCACAAAGAGAGTCATGATTCCACCCCTCTTTTTACAAAGATATATTATCATATGATAGGAGGAGCGATTTCACGGCAACAAAAGCTTCTGACAGTTTTTCACTACAAATCTAGGGTAGCATTTCAAGCTATGCACATTCACTGTCCTCTCGCTGCATTTACTGAGCTAACACTTTTCTAGTATCAGATTTGATTTAGGGAATATGATGCCTAACTACGTCTCTACAATGCATGATTACAAGAAAATGCTAAATGTGATTTTTATACTAACCTTGCCAACAACATTCTGATGTAACATATGCTTTCTGCATGAATACACTCCCTGGAAAACAATACATCCCTGACAAAAGACTAAGAAGGAGATTTTTTTCAAAGGCACAAATGGTAGCTAGGGTGCCCAACTACGGCTGCCAGACTGAGTTGGATGTCTAACTGCCTTTGTGCTATTGAACTTCTCCGTTTAGCTCGGCATTTTTAAACATGCCCGTGAAAATGGTTATTGAAATTCCCTTTTAAAGTGGCTACTGAACTGAGTATGCAGCATTAAATGAAACAGCCTAGCATCTCATTTTCTGAGTAATGGACTCTGAATGGTACTGTATAAACTTAATTTTTTTTGTTTTATTAACATATGAGACTATGTAGTATTGCATTTAATAACTTCTATATGTTTCATATAATTTTATCCTTTGGTAAGTGATAGTTTTATAATATTTGACTTGTCAATTTTAGCTGAAATCAATGTATAATTCCAAAACGTATGTTTTGTTGAAAAGCTTACTAACTGTTGTACCTCAAGTAGTTAGAAACCTAGAGATCTTTAAAAGGTGTTTTTGCCATATGCAGTGTAACGGCCTAATCCTGCAAATATCTGCTTAGGCAGATCCTCACATCCAACAGAACTTCAGATGGCTGTAAGGTTTTTCTCCTGTAGAACCCTTTGAAAGATCGGATCTTAAGTTTTTCATTAATTCACTGATTGTTTCATTTTTAATTTGAGATTATTAACTACTTTGCATCTTATTTTTTCAAAGTGTACGGAGAATCATACAAACTTCTCAGTGAGAAACACACTTAGGAATCTCTCAAGGGACAACTGACAAACTAACAATACTATGAAATATTAACAGCCTAGCTCACAAGTGAATGAGTAAAGATTTATGGTAACGCAGCTAAGTTTTCCAGCTCTACTGTTTCCACAATGCCTACTTTGCATATAACGATCTACTTGACTTTCCTGCACCTGTCTGGAGTCTGTTTTATACCTTCAACTTTTTCCTTTTACCATGACCTGTACAGGTAACCTTTACATGGCCTCTCACATTTGAGTTGCCCATTTGTACCCTGTTAGAAAAAACAAAAATTATACAACAGAACCTCACTAATTCACATTAATGCCTGAGGTCTACTGCAACTTACTGAAGTTTGGCAATTAGCAGTAACAAAAAGGTAAACAATAAATGCTCTAGGGTAATTTGTAAAGTGCATGCCTTAGTGATATGGCAGCTCAGTATAGCCTCTTAGTTGAGAGGTGAGGGGACTGGTTTTGTGCAGATTATGAAGTGTTTAGTGAGGTTCTACTATAAATGTAAAAACAGCGGAAGCCTCTTAAAAATCAGCGCTATAATACAAATCCTCTGCATTACGTTCCACAGTCTATAAAACACAGATTTGACGTGAGAGAACTTCACTTCAAACCAAACTTTCAACCGTTGTCAGAGAGTCATTATTTCCATTCTGACTCAATTCGTGGCATTTCTGTCCTGCAGATTCGGCTAGCGACTCTGTCATTACAGTGGAGATAGCACTTTCACTCCAAACTTTTGGTTCCCATGTAGTATTTCACAGCAGCTACCCTGGGTGCTGAAAAGGGCCCCAATTCTTCATTTTATATATCTATCTATATAATTTACCTTTTTCAATTACTAAGATCCCGAGAAAACTAATTGATTAGTTGATGAACAAAATATTTAGATAACTTGCACTCAGCTCAAAAATGGGTTTCAGTTGTTCCAACTTATGTGTGTGTATCACAGAGAGGAACGGGTGCTTCGCTACATTTTTAAAAGGCTGAACTTTTTATATATATATATAAGTAAAAAGTTCAGATTCCTGTGCATTCACTAATATCTTAGTAATTGAAGAATACAGCAGTATTGCTAATGCTACACGTGCACGTTGTGCAGCTCTTGCCGCAGGCAATGAGAGTAGGCTCACACCAAGCTACGTCTGTTAGGGAGGCTGTCAGGCCAACTAGCTTATGCTCTCTCAGCCCTTATGAGCCTCGTAAAAAACTCATCTTAAAACAACCTAATTCAAGTGTTTAGATACTTTAATCTCTGTGCCAGTTCATTTACCTGACAAGTACCCCATACAGTTTTCAATTTAACGTAGCTTGCAAATGGAGCAGGGGTCCTGTACAGTAAATAGTATGTCATCACGTAGCTGAGCGTATGCACAAGGAGAGAAAATTAAGATTGCAGGACAACCTTAATTGCAGGAGTTTGGCCAGAGGGTTTTTTAATTGGTCAATTTAATGTTTTCAGATGTTTACATCTGAAATTTCATAGTGTTCTAACTGTGGGGGTCCCTCTTCTGGCAGCCGGGACTCGTAGCTAGGAGCCCCCCGGCTGGGTCGTTCCCAGCAGCAGGGGAAGATCTGATGCATGTCCACAAGCCTCCTCCAGCTGCAGGAACCTTTGGAGCCAACTTTCACGCGGTAAATAAGCTCCCCGACTTTCACAATAAGGCAAAAATCAAGCTAATCCCATTTCAAAACAAGGCTAAAACAAGCCAATCCCTAAGAACCCCATCATTCTCTGTGACTAGACTCCCCCACGGTGTGCAGTCTGGGACTGTGATAGGCCCACTGTGCATCCTGACTCTCTCCCCACCTTGACCCTGCTTGCCGGGAGCCGATAAAAACAAAAAGAAGCAACAAGCTACAAGCCAAAAACTAGCCAACAAGCAACTCACAAGCCAATTAAGCCAAAACCAAGCCCAATTTCTGTATTTTTTTCCCGTGGGTTTGACATGTTTGCTTCGGAGCTTCGTGCAGCAGTGAGGCACTCAGAGGTGGGTCTGATCTCCCCCCACCCCAAGCTGCCATGCAAGGAAAGGACAAGTCCTGTCCCTGTCAGGAATTGCAGCTAGGAGCCCCCCCTGCTGGGGTGCTCCCGGCAGCAGGGGGAGATCAGACCCACATCCACAAGCCTTCTCCCGCTGCAAAAACCATCCGCACCAGAGCTTCCTGTAGCAGGGGGAGGCACCCGGAGGTGGGTCTGATCTTTCCCTCCCCCTGTCCCTCTCCAGCCCAGCAGGGACTCACAGCTAACAGCAGCAAGGGGGAGATTGGATTTCACTGGGAAGGGCTTATTTCATGGTCTGTGACACGTTTTTCACGGCTGTGACATTGGGAGAGCCCTATGTATGGGATTTACATTTCTTGTCATCACCCTGAAACTCTGTCCTCTATCTATCTTTCCTTGTTGAGCCTTGCTTCATGGCCAGGCCGCAACAATATTGTCTCCCTGACAGCGTCTCACTCAATCACCTCTATGCCTTCAATTCAGCCCTCCTGTGCTCTGCGCAACGTAAGGTTTCATCCCTGTCCACTTTAAGTCCTTCTTTAAAGGCCCACTGATGCTGTGCTGCTTCGTTTTTCTAGCCGGCTTGTATATCGGTGTTGTCGTTTGTTTCCCTTCATCTAACTGCTTTCTACCGGGCTCCCCTCAATTTTCAGCTCCTTGGACTGTCCCTTCTTGGATATCTGGAAAACACCTAGCATAGCGTGGGTGCCACCATAAACAGATACTGAAGTTCTATCTGGAGCTCAAGACTTCAGATTCTGTGACTCTGTTTGGCTCAGTTGTTGTCTAGAGCCTTTACCCGTGAGATGCTCAGGAAAGACCACTCTTGCCACAGTGACTCTGGCAGTGCGGAGACGTAGGTGGTTTAATCACTTTTCACAGTGCACTTTAGCTTCTCTTGATTTGATGGACCCTATTGACACTGAAGCAGGAAAGTGGTGCATTTTTGGAGGCTGTGCTCGGTAAGGGAAAAATACTTTCAGAAGAGCTGCCTCTGACCGTTAACAAGGAGCAGGCCTTTCCATCTAGGACCCCAGACTGGAGAACATTTCATATATGAACTTTAATTAGGGGAGTCAATATTTCAGGTGGCTGGGATACACTTACATAAGTACTTGTAGGCTACTTAAAGCCGTCACAGCTGAATCTTTGAGACATTTAACTGAAGGATGCTGATACTAAACCATATGTTTCCTTGTGCATGAGAGGCAGAGACGGAGTGAACAAGGAAAGTCATTAAAGTTATGTACAGTTGAGTATCATCAACATAAATATTATAGTTAATAACTAGTGCGCGTAATATGTTTGCTTGAATGTGAAATGTGATTTAAATAGAGGTTAATGTGTTTATATGAATGCCTGCCTGCTCCACTTCACATTTCAATAATTCAATGCACTTGAATGTTCCAGGTATGGAGTTTAAAGGTGCATACAGCAGAGCACTGTATCGTTGTGTACTGTAAACGCTAGATTGACAAGTAGTGTATTGCCCACAAACTGTAAGCTTGTAATTCCCCTTTGTGCAGAGGCTAATGCACTTCTGAAGTCCTGCTTGATCTGTCACAGATGTGCCTAAAGTAGTGCCTGCCCTAGACCTCTGCTAGCCTTCTGCACAAGGGGAAATCTTGCCTCAAGTGACTATTGAGCTCCTTGGTTATGGTTCAGTTTAAGCATTTAACATTTCAGCCAGGTCTCTGAAGGCTGCATGCTCACCAAGTTAGAACTGTTAAAGATTAAGCAGGTTTTGAAATACCTGATGGTCAAGAAAAAGTTGGAGCAATGTTCGGTGCATAGGAAACCCTTTATTCATGCTCTGGTAGTTTAGATATGGATGAACTGACTTCTCCCCTCCACTCCCCAATAGTAAGAAATACCATTTGAGGCTTGGAAGAATGAGAAATTTCAGAACAGTGTAAGCTTCTGAGAACGGGGTCTTGGAATGAAACCCTGATGTTTCAACTTAACAGCACTCAGGTGAAACCACCCATCTTGGAACTGGATTTTCCCAGTCTGAGTTGCTTTTCTTTGGCCCCCTTCAGCTCCCCTCTTCCATACTTTCATGTTGTAGAGACCTGGAGCCACTTGGCATCCCTTCCTGTTCCCCAGATATGATTCCTCCACAGCACTTCCAAACCCTGCTACCCTAGTGAATGAGGACTTGAGTTCGTCTCAGACAGCACATGAGTGACTACATAAGAATTTTGATCACGTTCATCTACCTTTCAAAATCCAAAGCCATCCTTGCCCAAAGCAGCGACAGCTAAATTCAAATTGGGAAAGTGATTTTAAATTCAACAATATTCTGACTTAGCTCAATATAATTTTGGGGTTGCCAGCAGTTAATGTTTAGCCATTATTTATACCAAGATCATACTGAACTATAGCAGACAAGAATGTCTATGATCAAGGTTATCTAATACTTTCCATCATCAGACTGTTTTCAATGGCTTACTTTTCCAAACTTTAACCATTTGGGATGAACTTTTCCCTGCTTGCCCTTTGTCCCAGGCTGAATTTTGGCATATTTCAGCAAAAACAGTCAAGCTGTTTCCAAGAAAGAGGCTCCATCACACACATGTCACGTGCTGCGGTGTCTTCACTAGGCTGAAGCCTGAAGCCTGGAGTCACGGGGCTGAAACCCAGAGCCACAAGCCCTGGTGCCCCTGCAGGGCAGAAGCCACAAGCCCCCCACCATGTGGGACTAAAGCCAGGAGCCCTGAGCCCCGGCACTTTGCGAGGCAGAAGACCTGAGCACAGTGGCTGAAGCCCCAAGGCTGCCCCCCCACCCAGCCTGGTGGCTGAAGCCCGGAGCCCCAAGCTCCCCACTCCGTGGCTGAAGCCCCGAGCCCCAGCCTCGCAGGGCCCTGGAGCGTTTATAGCATGTTGGAGGTGCCTCAAAGAAAAGGGTTGAGAACCCGTGATTTATACCACAATAAAACAGTCCTCAGATAAGTACATTTGGTTAGCAGTTATTGGTCAAATAGGCCTGTCTCGATGGACTTGAAAACGTACTGCTGAGTTAAATGCGTATTGTGAGTAAAAGCTGGGAAGAACTTAGGCTGCCATTATGGTGAGAAGTTTATTATCTACTATAAATAGAAATCTGAATACAGTGAAGAACGTAAATCCATCAGGTAAAGTACTCCCACTCCCGAGCTGCACCAGTGCCCTTATCAGAGTAAAACTAAGTGATAGTTCAGAACATACGGGCATTAGCACAGCAATAAATCAGTAGTATAAAAGTCAAGCGATGATGTAAGCATACGGTCATATGCAGTTTAAGACTGAAATCAATATTTGCAATGAACGTTTGAGAGAGCCATGCAGTTGTACTAGAAACAGTTCAAACAGTTCCACTTGCGGATTAAAATGTTCTGTTTCAGGTTAGTCCACACTAACTGGATGTGAGATAGCTGACCCGGTACTGAGGATGGCTTCTACATGGCAGAAGTGCCCGAAGGACTGTGCCCAAAGGCATGCCATCAACTGAAGCAAAGGTATTTATATGATCATGCCTTGTGCACACTGGAGACCCAGCACAGGCTCAGTTCTGTAGCACTCATCCAGTGTACCTTTCCACCTCTCCACTACTCACCTGGTGGCAGAGGATCTTACTAAATAACCCAGACCAGACCACTGTTGGCCATTTGCTATGTAGGCTCCCTGTACGCATGTTTGAATCCATTTAGCTAGAATAATTTTCTGAGTTCTAAACCCCTCCTTGCCACTTATGCAAACCAGATGAAGAGTTTTTCCCCCACTGTCAAGTCTGTGTTAAACTAACATTTTAATAGTTAATATTCTGAACTTCGGTAGTACATCCAAGGATCTTGAAGGACTTTACAAACAAGCCTCCAACCACCCCTGTGATATAGGTGGCATTCCCATTTTATAGATGGGGAAACCGACAGAGAAAGGCCAATTGACTTGCTCAGTGTTGTACCAAGTCAGCAGGACAGCCATTAACTCTTTTGGATTTGTCCAGATTTCAAGGAGTGGTGCCTAGTCTCTGAGCAGTTAAGGCCTTTCCTCTACAAACACCGTGCCCAGCAAGGAGAACAGATCAGATGGGCATAAAATATGATATAGCTTCCTAAGATAGCCAGAACTTCAAGGAGGGCCTAGCTGAGTTCTCAGCCATAGATAGTTTGATTTCTAACAGCAGAGCATGTATATCCACCAAGGCCTCCGATGGCTGCTAGAGCTGGCCGCATTGCACACATCTCATGCTGAACATCCCACTGCCTTTTTCTAATTTGTGTCACCTTGCTGAAAAACTAGATCCTACAGTATTATTGGCCAGATAGTCAAGAGACATCTGCTTCCACTTAGACATTTATGCGGCCAGATTTTCAAAATGGGGCTCAGCACATTGTGTCCAAAGCACTTTTGAGAATCCAGCCTTAGTGTCACAACTGGAGTTTCTGGGTGCTGGACACTTGAAAAATCTGGCCTCCCTCCGCAGTTCTCCAGCTGTTAGTCCATGGAGTGGCTGGGGGTGGCTTGCAGAGAGCTATCTGTCTGCAGTGCTGGCTCTCCTCTGTGTTTCTGTCACATGGTGGCGGGCTCTTTTTAAGGGGATGTGGGCCTAACCCCAACGGTGTCTAATCAGCTGCCTCCACTGAGGCTGTGAGGCTAGGGCCCAAGTGATAACATGAAGATCACCTGGTCCTCATAACTGCCAGCAAGTAGCTCAGTTGTGTGGAGAGCTGCAGAAAGCAGACAGGCCCCTGGAGGAAGCCCTGAGGGCAAGGGAAAGAAGATCATACGAGACTGCCAGACAGATGCCTGCAGAGTGTCATCCTGTGGAAGCAGATAAGACCCTAGAGCAGAGGTCTTGTGTTGAACAGTTTTATTTTGAAGAAATAAAACCAAAAGGCCTACAGAAAAGGACTGAAATCCTGTGGCTGGAGAGCATGCTTCTTTGGTGCATGGGCTAGTGAGAGAACCCACCTGCTTACAGTTTCCAACTGGCAAAAAAGCATTAAAGAGCAGCTAATGTATCAATACTTTTCTATTATTCAGATAATCAATGGCTATCGTTACCTCAGGAATACTGGGATGGCAAGTGGGCGAGAAGATGAACTAGTCAATGTTATTAACATGTAGTCCACACCGTGAGCTAGTCCAAGGGGTTGGAGAACTCTAGCTTGGCCTTAATAAGCCTGTTCTAGAGGAAAAGAGCAGGAGAAATGGTATTATTCCAACGTCGACAAGTCCATTAACTTTTGGACTGAAAATGAGAATGAGAAATGTCACAAGGGGTAATGATCAAGTGCCTGGTAATAGCTGAATGGTTTTACCGACAGAATCCATGTATCTCCGCTCCGCACCCTCATTCACGTAAAAAACCCAAACCCTTCTTGACCTGGGCTGTCTGAGGAGAGCCGGACTTGGCTGCATTTAGTGCTCACTAATGTTACTTCCATCCCCCTGTGATTTTGCAGGCCTAGGAAGGGAGGCACCACCTTTGACTAGGCAATGAGATGGCTTTTTAGTCTTACTGCTCTGTACCTACCAGCTGAGATCCTTCTTGCAAGGCATAAACATTAAAAACCAAATCTCGCCTCGCTGTGATGGGGTGTACAAATCCCACACTTTGAAGGAATGGGTGAAAGAGCTGTTCTAGGTCCCACACACCTGCACAACAGGCAGGGGCTGGAGAAGGAGCTTAAAAAGGGAGCAGAAGAACTGGCAGACAGTGGAGGTGAAGGCACCTACACTCTGAACTCCTGAGCCCCGGCAATAGCGGCTTGGTCAAGCCAACCAAGGAGAGACTTGCGACAAACCTTTATCTCTGGGTGCAGTTATTTACTGACTTTATCTGCTGGGAAGCGAGGGGACAGATAGGAAGTGATCCAGGGAGGCAGCATTTTAGCACTTAGGGGTGCAGGACATAGCTGCTTACCCCCAGGCCCTGGATTGGAATTCTGTGCAGAGGGTGGGTCCGGGTTCCCCTGCCAACCCCCGGGGAATGCTGAAGACAGCATACTACACTGGTGTGGGGAATCCGGTTGAGGGAAGGCCTAGAAGACAGAAAGGTCCACACCATGAGGCCCCAACCCAAGGGGAAACCCACAGCCCCTCGCCTAATCCAGAGGGCTACCCCTTTGCTGGATTCTTCATGTACCCCAAAAGGGGCAGACAAATCGAGTGACCTGGCTAGAGGGCCGAATCATGACAGAGACAGACCACTGTAGGGCTGGAGCAGCTGCCATCAGGGGGTGCCCAGAAAGGAGAGGACCTTTCATGCCCCCATCTGACCAGCAGGTGGCACCAGTGGTAAACAAACTCCTTCACACACTCCCATTAGTAAAAAGCAACAGAGAGTCCTGTGGCACCTTAGGCTTGGTCTACACTACCCCCCCTAATTCGAACTAAGGTACGCAACTTCAGCTACGTGAATAACGTA